GGAATACAGCTGCACTATTAGCACCTTCCTACTCTAAACTTTATTGTCTAATCCTCAGACTCCCTCGGGCTTTGTGGCCCGAAAAGTTTATGAAGTGCGCTGCGATGCAGTTTGACCCGGGCCGAACTCGTGGCAGTCGGCCATCAAAGCGCCACGCTCCACTCTCCTCCTCTTTCATCTCTCAGCTATCTCTCCTGCAGCCCGGGCAGAGATTATCGTCACGTCAAAGGGGCACCGGAACATAAACCAGCCCAGCAGGAAAATGAATTTTGGCAGGAGTTGATGCTGATAATATACTGCTACCTGCTACGTTTATATAACAGTTTCAAATTCATTACTGGGATGTGATATTAACAGTCAGCACAGCCTCTCTGGTATGAAAGTCTCACCCCTCCTCCCTTTGCTCTCGCCTGTATCGCTGCATGCAAGTAGCCTCCCTTTGCAGGAGATTTTGGCAATGTAGAGCCGGTGTTTTCCTCCTCAATGAGAACATGACTAAGAATAATAGCGCCCGGTGATGCGATGCGGCTGTCTGCACTGTTGTGCACAACAACATTGATTAGATTACTTCCCTGACTAATGGCTACTTCCCCTCCCTTAGAGGGGAAAGTGAATCTCTATCTGATAGTCACTCTTCCATTCAGGCTCGCCTCGTCCCCCCCACTTCTTTATCTTCAGTGCATCCATCTTAGCTGACTCAGACATGCAGAATCATTAAATCATTCATTTGATATATTCATTTTTTTGGTCATAAATTCAGCAGAATGTGAGCTCACGAAGAGAAACGGTGTCCATGAACTCGCGCTCAAGGAAAAGCATCATTGGAGTCTCTTCAGCTGAGGAGGGAGCTTTATAATACAGTCCTGTTTTCGCCCTTTCTGTAATGGTTTTAAATGCCCACGTGAGATCAGTATTCCCGGCGGACTCTCCTTCTCCTCGCTCTTTAACCTTTTTCTTCACTCCAGAGTTTCTCTTTGCCATGCCATAACCTCCACCATATTCCCCTGAGCTGAGTCCAATACTTCTAGTTAGCACACCGATTGAAATTCCTCACCGGACTCCAATACCACATTCAGGCTACTGAATTTTAACACACTGCATAAACAAACCTTGAAGATATAAACTAACAAATGAAGGCGAAGATGAAACTATGATACTTAACTCCAATTAAAGTGATAGACAAGTATAAATGTCGAATCTTACCTTGAATTTCAACATTAAACAAGAATAAGTATCTTTAATCATGCTGGCAGCTCAGAGAGGCTGAACTTTGGTGAAGTGTTGCTTGATCTCGATGCAGATGGTCTGATTATAATCTTACAGTGGCCATGCTAAGATGTGACCTTCAGCAGATGCAGAATTAACCATGTTGCATATGAAGGAACATAACAATGCAGACATTTCCCTTGAGCTACATGCTCCCACTCACCGGTTTAATTAAGGAGGTTAGCACGCCAACATCTACCTTGGGCCTGATGCTTAAAATGGTAATACTCAGACTCTGCCTAGTTACCCATCACTGTACCGAAATAAGACTATCCCCCGCTGGCCGATCATCACACTGCGTCTTGTGTTTATGTCACAAAAAGACACACATGGGCTCCCATCATCATGTCATCAGGTCCTTATTTTACATGACAGGCTGTGGAGTGGACAACAACACTGACAACACTGACTGCAGCTCATATTTGATGCTATTTAAACAAGAAATTATTAACAATAAAAACCAAAAACGATTAGAATTCGTAAATATGTGAATTAATACGATTATGTAGCGAGAGATGGATCATTCAGCTGCAGAGAGGGAGTGTAGAAAGGGTTTATGGAGCTGTCCAAACACTTCACCATATATATATATATATTATGTGTTTTTATAATGCACACTGGCAAAATACAACATATCCTGTAAGGAAGAGAAAAACTTGTTCATTTTAAATGTTGTATCGATGTTTATTTCCATCTATAAAGACAGCAAAAGCAGCAGAGTCTTCCCTGTCTCTCCTCCTCTCATTGAGTGGAGTGGAAATTTCTTTAAATGTCAACAAATTTCCCTTTGAGGATCAATAAAGTTCTTGTATTGTATTATCAGCTTGTGGGAGACTTTAATGCTGATTAATACCCTTCCTCACGCTCCATTTGGTCTTTACTTCCCCTCTTTCTGCCAGTACAGGAATCACCTCTTTACCAGACCTGCCAACACTCCCGTTTTTCCCTGGACTCTCCTGTATTTCAGACCAATCTCCCGCTCTCCCAACTCTCGTATCATCATTTCTCCTGGGAATCTCCCGTAGTTTGATGATCCACGTTCATTCATGAATCAGATCACTATATTTGTCCAAGTTTCCAGACAACTGAAGTTTGTCCTGTGTTTCTGCTGAGCCTCACAGACACTCGATTGATACTTTTACTTTACAAATTGGGATGATTCAGGTCGGCTTAAGCTATAAACTATATTAAAGCTGTGTTTGCTGCAAAATAAACACTTCAATGAAAGGGAAACAAACGTGAGATCTAATATTTACTTTGATAGTCTTGCACCGTCTCAGAGTGATGCGTTCAGGGCAGCCTCAGATAAAAGAGTGCTGTATTTCACACACAGATGTTCGGAGAGACTCATACGGGAGAGCATGTAAAACATATGAGGACTTTAACACTAATATTAGTGGACTAAATAAGTTCAAGGCTTTAAGTTTTTATTGTTAAAACAAAACAGAAAAGTGTGCAGCTTCACTTTTACTTACTTGAATGAGCAATCTAATTACAAATACTCTCATAATGAGCTCATATCCATACAAGGTAACCCCAAAACTGCCTGGTGCACGCTGCAAAAATCTTCTAAATTTTATAACCCAAATGTTGGCCGGTTTGCTCTTTACTGTCTTTTCTCTTACTCTTCAGAAATTAGTAGAAAAGTGTTAAAATATAAAAAAAATATACAACCCGACAGCATTCAGGTCCTTTAATACTCTGTTCTTGTATGCTGTCAGTTTTTTCAAGCTGTATTTCAAGCCTGATGTAAAGAGGCAACACCCATTGGTGTAGGTGGCCCCGGTACGTTTCTAACCTACCACTTACTGCTCATCATTCCCCACTCTCTGTTCTGGTTTCCTTCTCTATCGATTGGCCTTTCTGTCTATAAAAGTCTGAAATGAAAAGGGCGCATCCTCTGGGGAAAACATTATTGATGTCCGTGCGAAATTCTGACATAAATCCAAAATCTGTTCAGACATGTCAGAGTAAACCACGTGAAGTATCGGCCTCATGGTGGTGCAACAGCAGAAGTCAACAGCTGGGGTTCATCCTCTGTGTGACATGAAAGCCAGTTTCATCACAACAGAGTGATCTACCAGCTCACTAACACGGTTAGGTAAAAATCTGTGAACTGTGAGGGATGGAGCACTTCTCACTACAAACCCATCTGATGTGCACACATTGGCAATTTTATGGAACAGCTTTGAAGTTGTGTTCAGGCTGGGTGTCAACAACATTTGGTAATTACAAGGGGATGTGATTCTTAATTTAACAGAGATAAAGCATACAAAGTCAGGACATTTGGCCCCTCGGGCAGGAATTTGTTTCTCCCCTGACAGATTACCTCCTATTTGTCTATTCTCTTCTGTAATCCCAGTCGCTGCTCCCCCTCACATGAACAAATAAGCATTACCGTGTTTACACACACAACAACTTGGTCCAAATACACATGGCTCCTCCAGGCACAGCAGATGGATGCTTCTTCCTCTGCAAAGTGACGTAGTTTTTAATCAAGAAACAAGCTGATGTGATCAACGAGGTGTGATGGCAGGAGTCGAGAATCATTGATCAAAGTTTGATCGGGAGCGGCAACAGGTTTGAGGTCTGATCCGGATTGGAAACACTCGCCTTTTCCATCATTGGTTGTTACGGTCGTCTCGAGCTCTAATTTTCACTCCATTATGAATGAGTTGGTTGTTTGATGAGGGACATCTGTCTCCGCTCCAATGTATTATCACCAGCAGACTGTGGCTGGAGTGGACAGACAGAGCGAGTTTGGCAGCGGATACGAGGAAGCTGCCCCCGAAAAGATGAACCCATTTACTGTATGTGAGTCTATCTGACCGCCATCTGCCGTCAGCCCAGAATAGCGGCCTTTGTGAGTGTGTTTGTGCGCGTGTACATGTCTGTGTAAATGTTTGGCGTCTCCATCTGATGTTGGCTCAGTTAATCAATAGCGGCGATGCTGTACTCAGATGACATATAGTGCAGGCATCCCTATCTCAGCGCCCTAATCAGATTAGCAGTGAATAGCATCTATGTACACGCCGGCCTCCTGGCAAGGATTAGGAGCTCTGCCAGCCTCCCATGGAGGAAGAGCAAGAACACTGTCGGAAAAAATTGCACGTCTATTGGGAGCTTTGTCAAAATAACACCAGATTTTGTTGATAAGAAAGCAATTACACAACCTTTTAAACTCTGAATTCATGTTTTCTGTAAGTCCACAAACGCGGTGAGTCAACACCTCCCCTCGCCACAATGCAGGTGTGCGGTATCTCACAGGAAGTTCATCTCGAGTGAAGAAATGCATTAATGTGCAGCTGAGATTATATTCAAACTGGCAAATAGCTGAACGCAAACATTAGCTGCAATCATGAAAGCCATTTCTTGGATGATTTCTATCAGCGAGAGCCAATTCTGCTCAGGGTAGCGGCGTCAGTGTGGAGCGTTATTTCCAACAGGGAAGAGAAAACACTCACGCTTGTCCTTCTCTTCAAATTTGGAATTGTTTCATTTTTCTACTCCTGCCTCCTCAACCATGTAATACCATTCTCTCATAATCAGTTGAGGATTTAATTTCACAGGAAGGATTCAAAACAAATGCATCCGGCAGCCATTCACAATATTCATCCATCTTCTTCTTATTGAAAATCACTCGGTGAGGCCTCCTTGCTCGTCGTAAATCCATTTAATTTACTCAACTGCTTCCTCAGAGCTTTTTATTTTCTCTTACCTTGTATTCCTGACAGTCCTTCAGACCACCGGGCGTTCATTCGGAGGAGAAACAATATCAAATCAATCAAAATTCTGCTGGTCTCAGCCTCTTCACCCTGCCGGGATCTTAGCCGTCCTCGTCACTCTGATTGGACGGGATCTCCTGAAAAGCCGGTGGAGTGGAAACAGATCCCGTCGACAGGGTGACAAAGGTAAAAGTAGGCGAGTGTCGAAAGAAATGAAAAAGGGGAGCCGCGCGCAATCAAGTCATTACAATGCCAGTCATCACTTGAAGAAGAGGAAACATGTATAGTCTGTTTTTCTTCTGTCAAGAGCTCTCAGAGATCTCATTGACCCCGCTCCTTTATGTGTGAGATGATTCTCGATGCCTTTCTGTGGCCTCACCGACGTAAAAACAGATTCACATGTGATGTATGTTCTCCTTTGCCTCGGCAGAATCGCACTCGAAGGATTAATTCTACTTCAACTCAAATCTCAATTATTTTTGATGTTTTGTAGAGACTCTCTCTCTCAAAAGATTTTTTTCTTCTTCTGCTTCATACAATCCAACATTCACCTCTGCCACCAAATGAAAATAAAAGCCGCATTTACAATTACACGTCTGAGATCCATTTTCTCAAAAAGTTCGTTTTTTCCACTGATAAGAGCCTCTTTCTCTGTTCTAATCACATATCAAGAGTTGGCAATGACTTTTTCTCGCTCTTCCCCATTAATTATGGATTCTCTGGTAATTTTCATTAATTACAGAAATGCCTGCAGTTAATCATCATTATTCTCTTTGGGTATTGGAGTTATTTTCTGCATTCAAAGGTCGAGGAACTTGTGCATGTTGATAAGAAATCATCTCAGAAATCGCTCCGGCACTGCGAGGGCATGAATAGAGAAGCAGCTTTTGGAGAAAGAAAAAAAACGCTGTGCCCTCTGGCAGTTTAGATGACTATTAATTTGACCTCTCTGCATTGATTACTGAGTGTAGGAGTGTGGGTGTTGGTGTGTGTGTGTGCGTATGTGAGGGAGGAATTGTTATTCATTTGGCTACGATTTCCTTGAAGTTATGGATGTGCTGTAGTATTGCATTTTGCATATTCTTAAGTGGGTGGGAGATGCAAGAAGCATTGAATCTAAATGAAGAAAGAATAAAGTTGTTTAGATCATGCAGAGAAGTTTGGACGAACTCATTATTTGATCTGTGCATCATCCATTTATTCACAGTTTTCAACCAAACATAGAAGAGGTTATATTGAGCGACTGTCTGAATCGTACACCTTTGGAGCGGCCTCTAAAGGAAACAATAAAAGGCAGTGTGTCAGCTCATATCATATTCTACCATACTGCATCATATGTTATTATCATTTTGTATCGTACTGTATTTTTTCACTTCTTATTATGTTGCGATGTATGGTTTTTAAACAGGCTGCGCTGGTGCAGTCGCTGGGACTCTTAGCTGGTTCCTTGTTACGTCACATTGTACTGAATTGTATGAAATGGAGTTGTCCAGAGTCATATCACTTTGTATTGTATCATATCCAACCATAATGAGCAGTATTATATCCATCACATTACATAATAGCACCATATGCACCATATCATAATTGTACCATAACGTATCATTTTATAATGTAAGATGTTATCAGCCTTTCTATTACATTATTACATCTCAGCACCATTTCTGCTGCTACATTAGTCACACATTAGTTTGCTATTGTACCCAAATTGTATTGTATTGCCAAAATCTTTACCATGCCATTCAAACGCTTTATAACATTAGCCTCTGATTCTATCGCTTGCAAATAGTTTGAGAGTAACCTTTCTGATACGTTTCAGTGTGTGAAAGTGAGTAATATTTAATCAGAGCTTCTGTTAAAGGTGTTCCACAAGGCTCAGTAACTGTAACTGTAATATCGTTCTTTATGCAGACGATGTTGTTCTGTATCGCTCTGCTGACTCTCTACATCTCTCAGTATCCTTGCACTTGCATCAGATCACACTATATGGATTTTTCTTATGTGTTGATTATACATCTACTAGAAATAACCAGCGCTCATATTCATTTATTGTAATGTAAATTCAATCTGTGACAGTTTCTACCTCTACTCAATTTCATTGGACCGCCCGCCTTAAAAGTATTTCTTTAAAATCTGAGACCAAAAATTGAACACAAAAACACTTAATATGTTCTAAAATGTCAGTTACTCAGTGCTGTAAGTCAACAGTTAGGCCTCCTTATGTGGCCTGAATGCTGTAACTTTAAAAACATGAAATTTTAGACTTTACCAAGCTAGTTATTTCCAACATTGCAAGATCTTGATGTGTTTGAATACAGCGTTAAATAATACTTTTAATCACCTTTATCAGTTTATTAATTTACAGGAACAAAGAAAACATGAATGCAGTTGGAAGAAGTTTGAAATCATAATTTATTCATTCGACTGGCTGAATAAAAGCGTTCGAGTTTGATTCATCAGCTAATTTGTCAGTAATGAGGGACACAAATCATCATAGTTGCTCTTGCCGTTCTCCGTCCCTTACGCATGAACATTTGTCATGTTCCTCTGAAAATTTTCAGTCTTTTGGTTCTCATCCAAAGAAGGTTTTAATAATATTTTAATCACTGCATGCTTACAGCACCTCGATCTTTTGTTAATCTCTGCTGCTCGAACACCTGAAGCGAAGGAAAATGGTGAAATGTGTAATTCCTCTGGCATAAAGCAGGAAAAGATTGATGTTCCTCCAGCGGTGGTAAACACTCACTTATTTCCTTGAAGAAAATCGCAGTGACCTTGTATTAAACATGGAAAATATCATAAAAACGAAGGTCTGTGTTTGTGTTTTCTGATGCAAACATTTGCATAAAAAACAGAGTTGGCTTGCGTCAATAAGTGGCTGCCATACAATGGTGCACTCTGGCATCCCCCACCTCATTGTTCTCCTGCAGAAATCTCCGGATCGGTCTGTGGCTGCAGATTAATTCCACTTTTCCTCTGATTAGCATATTTGATTATGCAAAAGAATTCTCTTGACTTTGCTGGGCTTCCTGAGAGCCTCAATTAATTTAACTGATGAGGAATACTCTGATCACAATTAAATGATAAATGGTTTAAGTGTTGCATATGGAAATCATGTCTGTCTTGTTTAGATGCAAGTTTCTTTTTTTCCCACTTTAATGAAAAGCTCTAAATTAGCATAAAAGGTCACATCCACACCGGGTCGAGAGTTTTGGCGCTCGGTAATGCATGGTGATTGCTGCTTTACATAAATCATTCAGTCCTTCAGAAATCTGTTGAAATGAAACAGTTTTTTCCTCAAAATGATTTTCCCTGTAAACAACCTTTCCTGATAATTTGTTGATCTGCACTCAGAGGATCTGTGTGTGTTAGAGTGACAGTCTATTGGCATCTCAGACTCACTTCCAAAAGCTAATTACAATAAGCCATTTCTAAAAGCCAAATATGAATACTTCAGTTTTTCAGTCGGTTTTGCTTAATGGTTGTATTCAACTGTTCATAATAAAAAGAGGGTTATTAAAGGTAGAGAGCCGGTAAGACTGACTTTTTAAAAACATTAAATGAAAATTTTCAGTTTTAAGACTGTCTAAAATAATACAAGACTAAACCTGGTGTCTACTGTGAGAACCAGGCCTCCGGTCATCTCTTTAAAGAAGGTTTTCGTGTCAGCTGATATGTGGGTCAACTGCTGCCTCTTTAGAGACACTGCTAAAGCAGAGACGTTAAAGGTACAGTGAGTAATTTCGAACAGCAGACTTGGCAGGAAGATGTAATGCAATTTTCACAAGTGTGTTTAAAATTAGTTTATAATCGCCTAGATATAAAAACAACTTAGTTTTTGTCCACTTTGAATGCACCTCATATACCTGCATGAGAGAGGTTCCCCTCCCATCTTGTATCACCATGATTCAGTCGCACAATAGACAAACTATTGACATTTGCACTTTTTGTATTCTGTGCAAATTGCACCAGATGGAAAAAGTAGAAGAAAGATAGTGTGATGGTTGTTGTGTGTTCAAGAACTCATATTTTAATGACTTATTTGAAGGAGCAGGACACAGGGGAGGGAGAGTTTGTGACATGCAGGCTACATGCTGTATCAAGTGTTAATCATAGAAAACATGAACCTCATAATAACTTTAAAAAATTGAGTTGTACAGAAAAAAGAGGACTTGAGCACAAACCAGTCTTACTGTAACTACATGTCAACATCACAAGCAGGGGGGAGAAAAATTTATGTTCTGTGTAATAATTTTTTAAACTCCATAAGGATTGCTGGCACAGGCGGGATTTATGACCTATACTGCAGCCTGTCACCAGAGGGTGCTGTTCTCGGAGTGGCTTCACCCAGTGAGGAGGCAGATGGCGTCCATTCTATATGTAGTCTATGGTACCAGATGTGCTCAGGGCCCTGGGCTTGTTGTTGATTTCATGCTATATGATTGGCTGGAGGTTGGTTGGATGACGTTGAAGATTGCGGTTGGTCCGGACAAATTACAGAAGCAGTTTTCATGGGATTAGGTTTCATGGGATTGTAATTCTTCAGGGAAAATATGGACCAATTTTATGAAGAAATCTACTGCAATTTATCAAAAGGGCCTTGAGACAGCCAGACTACCGCCTCTTTTAGGTAGGAGCTTCTAACCGTGCACATCTGACTTATTAAATGAAGCACAATGTAGTTTGTCCAAGTGGACTTGCCGTAGTGTGACATCATGCCCAGACTGCCAGGCCTTTGGCACCCCTAAAAAATTAAGCTTGTCAAAAGGAGGGTCATGCATCACAGTGCGTGTTTGTCCTCAAAGGCCACTATAGCGTCACCAACTTTAGGGGTGAGCAAGGGGGCATTTCAATCTAATTCCCATTTCTGACTGTTTCAATTTCAGTGCCACAACTTTACTTTGAAAGACATTGAAATTGTGTTTTACAAAAGGTTCACATACAGCTTATGTTATCTAATTTTGTGAGGTTTTCAATCGTCCTATAAAGTGTCAGTTATTTCATCTGCCTGTCTGTCTATCTAGGTCGCCTGTAGATCTGCAACAGTGATAGTAGGGCAACACCACATTTGTGTTTTTCATGGCAGGGAAAAGAACAATGCAGATTTTGTCTTTAACAAATGATGACATTTTCGTCAAAGAGAATTCCTGCAGCTGGGTGTTTGTGTGTGGTTCAGCCAGAGGTTG